GAAGTGATTAGCTCTTGTCTCTGATGTAGAGACAGACCAGCCTGCACATCTAATGATGCTATGTGATTGATCTCTATACTGTTGGCTGAAAAACTTAACATTTTTATATTAGTATCGCCACAATTTAGCAAATTAATTGTCCCGATAATGAAATTTACGACATTCAGCAGGTGATGGGTAAGATATAGTTATGATTTAGCTATTTGTGATAATAATCAATTATGCTGAATAATTTACCTTATTTTGTATCATTGTCTAATAAGGAAAGGTTATCCCTTAATTCTCTGTCGAAAGGGTTTTACCTCAATTTTCCTTACTCTCTGACATATATTATATCCTAATAAAGTTTTATTAATGTCTACTCCTTAAAATTGTTTTAAATGTTTTTACATTGTTCCAATGTATTTTCGTAGTAAGTAAATCAGCTTTTAGTAAATCAGATAATAATTTGTGAACTTATGAAAATGTTTTATGTATAACAGTTTCAATTACCGTCACTACACATTGTGACCAACTTGATTTTTTGCTACAATAAAATATGTTTTGTGTGGAACTACTTTTGCCATTACCGCCACTACTCTTTGAGACAAACTTGATTTTACTTGGCCAATATATTGTTTCCGTCTTCTATTTCAATTGACACAAGTCCATTAATCAAACTAGAACGGCACTCTACCAACCAAGTTTCTGACACTGGAAATAAATTGTAATCATAAAAGTGGGTATTGGTAAAAATTATTTCTTATCCCTTCGAAAAGTACTGAAATTGAGTGCTAGAAAACGATCAAAATGGAATTATATCTTTTTCAACTGACACATTTTTAAATATATATGCAACAAATAGGGTTCATAAAGTCCGAAATAGTTTCTTTTCCAGAATTACTGTATAAGTATGTTAAATGTTTTATATTCATGTTATCAACATGTTACCTTGTAAACTCTGGTCACAACATTTCTAATCCATGTTAAAGAGTGATGAGAGTAAAGTCAATATTGGTTAATATTGATAATGAGAAAATTACTTTCACAAAAATGAAATTGATTAATATTTTGCAAATACTTTAAACGACATGGATTGTGACTAATATTTATTCGTACATAGATTACAAGGGAGTCAAGGTATAGTGGCATATTTAAAACTGTACAGGCCTTTTTTCAAAAGTTCAAACTCCTGTTTCTTTAATATTTTCAATGAAAATCTTATCTTGAAAAATGAATAGGAAAAGTTTTATTTTAGGACAACTTTTTAAACCATTGTCAAGTGTTTTGCTTTAAAACATGTTTAACTAAACAAGAAAATATTCACACAAAACAATTAGAAATGTTATGGTAAAATGTTTTTTTCGTTGTACTTAGTAACCTAGGCAACGGCATGGTTCATAGAATTACACCCAGCAGCAAGTATTTTGTATTGACTTTAATAACTATCGCAACAGTTTTGTCCTTAATGTGTTTTATTGATAGTTCTCTAAACCTGCATTATGTTTGTAATCGATGAAGTACTTTCTTGTTTATTCTAAGCATTGACATTAAACAAAACATCATATAGAATGGTAACTCTCTAGGATTTTTTTTTATTTAAAAAAGAATTACTATTCCAAATATATTTTTGCAATAATCCCGTAGAACTAGATAGATGTCGACCAAAAATGAATACAGAACAGGAAAGTGCTAACGATAATTAACGTAACGCTCTCCGATCATGTCATTTGTCTTTGAGACAAGTTACGCCACACGTTTCTGTCTTGCTACCATCTGTTTTTTTTCTCCTAATTCGGGATAATTTATTGGAATCTAGGGAGATGTCAAGACGACTGTTTGCGACCTAGTTGATGTAATCATAAATCATTCCAATAATTGGTATTTCTGTAAGTAATTTGTATCGTCTACCATCTGCATGAGAATAATAATCATCTTGTAATAATTTTCTTATGAAGAAAAATGCGTTTTGCAACTGGAACATTAACATGTATTTAGTAACATATTTCATTTTTGTAAACTGTGGACTTATAATTTTAAACAGGAAATTGGTTCCTTTACTTAAACCAAGTGAAGGACCATTTATTCCAAAACATTTAAATCATCTTAGTGAACTAAGATATGTATGTGAGGTTACAATATCAGACTTTGATGAACGATTATTTTCTAGTGTTTTGGGATACAGAACTTTCCTACGTTTATCTTATCCAAAGAGGAAATATGCGAAACTAAGTAACTCGTTACATAACAGAATCTAAACGGAATGGTAATTCAAATAAACATATTATAAACTTACTTCAATTTGTTTCCTTATTGTTCTCTTTTCAGTTAATTAAATCGATTTCGCTCTTTTTATTTTTTAAGCTAAAAGCAAGTTTGGATTTCTATTAATAGATTAGGTGAAATGCCTCAGTAAAATTATTCTATAAACTATAAGGTCAATTATGTATGTTTATATTCAGTACTTGATTTATTGTAATATGAAAATTGTTATCAAAGTCATATGTTTATAACGTACTTTTATGGAAAAAAATATGAACTATTTTGGTTAGAAAGTACACCATCTTCCAGAGCCTATGGTTACCTAACCATTGTATTGATTTCATTTATAGTAATTGAATGGCTTATAAACGGTTTTTGCATCTAAAGAAATAGTCAAAACCTTTACGGTAAAACAGAGAAAAAACAGTATCCCTAAAGAAAGCTGAAAAACAACAGAATTATAGATATTGTAGGCTCGGTTTGATTAAGCCTGTTCATGGACGGTACTGGAAAGTGCAAGTTACCGCCCACGCCCCTTGCACCGGCTTAAGCAGAATTCAACATTTACACATGCAAATGTGAAATTTTAAATGAAGAAACATCCGCATATGTGTTTTAATGTAAACCTTAAATATGTGTAGACACTCCAGCTCTATTTCTCACCGAGACAAGTTGATTACTCGTTTCACACTTGTAACTGTCTATGGTTATTCTTTTTATGAGGAAATTTATCAAAATGTATGGACAGGTTTCCACAAGAGTCGTTTACTGATCTTATTTGTAAATGACAATAATACAAATGATGCCTTGGAGTCATTATTCTTGTATTTAAAAGGTCTGGAAACGTCTGCTTGAAAATAATGATGATCAAGTTTTGTGTGCAATTACTTTCAGCAGACCCTTCTTGTACTAACTGTATATAATTTGAAGGCACGTGATGCCTAAGAAATAATTACATAATATTCATCTTAAGAAAAGGCATACAATTGTCTTATTTTATTTAAGTAAAGAACTAAGAGCATGTAAAATGACAACATCTGCATAGATTAGCGTCGGAAAGGAAGGGAAATAATTTGTCATTGAGTTAAGCAAAATGTACGACAAAGGGGTATTACACTAAATAAATTACTCAAATGCTATAGAAGAAAACGATAACTCATCTATATGGCAAATTAGTGCTCTTTGTTTGTTTTTTGTTTGTTTTTGTTTGGTTGTTTTTGTTGTTTTTATTTTGAAGCTGTAAAATGACACCAAAAAATTGAAGGCCTAACATTTGATAAAAAAGAAACAGAAATTGTAGCATTTTCCGGGCTTAAACCATAGTTGTATGCAAAGCAAGTTTTTTCTAAATTTCGTATACATGTATATGCTTTGCTTAACTGTGATTGTTCAAAGTTTTACTCTTTCTTATAAGTTGACATATTTTAACAACCCTAAAAAGAACTAAATACATTTTTGCATGATTTCCATCGATTTTGAATATGAGTTAGATGATTAGGCACAATGCTACTAAAAACTAAACACAAACCTTTGCCTTGTGACAATCTTTGCCTCGCGACTAATGACGTCTCAAGGAAACATAGATCATTTTTCAAATGACTATTGACAAGAATGACATCCGTCTACATGTATGAGAGTAAAATTTACCCATATGGCTTCATGGGAGTCATGGCAGGTGAAATTTTCATCTTCGTTAGGCTTCCTGCTTCATTTGATGAAGACAATATGTTGAGTATAGAGATAGCTTTTTATATCCACCCTAGTGTTTAACAGAATTATATGCCTTTGTGGCACAATTTTGCGTTGAACTCAAAGTAAAGTGCTAGTTACCTTTTTTATTTGTTGTAACATAAAACAGAAAATGTGATCAAACATGATAATTGTAATTGTCTTGTTCTATACAAAATAATATCACAGATGGAGAGCAAATCAAATATAATCTTTCCAGTTTACAATTGAACCTGTCATGCTTTGTTTGAGAAGGCTGACTTCAATGGTATTTTTTTCTGTTACAAAATCTACACGTGTCGTTAAGCATTTTGAGTTATCTTATATTGAATTCAAATTCAACGTGTTAAAATATTAATATAATGTAATGTATTTCGGTTAAGTAAGTATTGATGTACATGTAACAAAGAATATACAATGAATATTTTACTTTTTGAAATAAAACGTTTTGTTAAATTGTCATAATTTTGTTGCTTATTTTTGCTCTTAAACAATGAAAATTAATGAATGTGCAAATATTAAGTTTCACTTGATTATGTAAGGTAAACAACTTGAAGAGTCTTTGTCGTAAAACGTTTAAATAGCAATTTGAAAGATGCAAACTGTTAATAAGAAATAAATATAAGCAAATAAAAATGTAATCTCCTATATTGTAATTGTGTTCCTAATTGTAATTTGTTTGATCAGTTGGACTCATTCTTGAGTATTTTGTACCTTTACGTTCAAATCATTACATACTTTTTTGCAAAGACATGTTGACAAATACAAAGATTACAAAAGTACTTTCATTCTTAAGCTGTTTGAATCAATGACTTTAATATCCTTTTCCCTGACAAGGTTCTTCACTTTTGGTTTCTTTTGTATATTGGTACTGAAACTTTCAATGGACTGCTCCAAGTTCAAAGCCAGGCAAATACATTACACAATTTCACCAGGTTATAGGATAAGGCAATTATTTAAACAACTGTTATAGTTGTGTTTTTTATTGCTAAGAGTTGAGTGAATCAGAAATGTAGAAAAGCCAATAACGACAAGTTTATCAGCATTACACCTCTCTCGTTCAGGTCTTCGCAGTTATAGCACGTACTATTTACGTTTATCCGCCAAGAGCATGTGAACACTGAACAAGTTAACATCACAATTGGATAATAAATTATTACTTAGAAATGGAATGTGCTTGTAACAGCCAAATAGTAGAATAATATCTTGACTGCCAACGAAATTGTTAATTTGGAAATAACTTTAAGGACAGAAAGGTAATCAGGTTATCTAGAACTTTTATTTTCAAAAATCCCATTTTTCATATATCTAGATAAAAAGATAATTCTTTTTTAAGTAGATTATTCTCATTACTTAGGTCATTACAATAATTTTCAAACTAAACATAACAATTTTGTATAGGATAAAAATCAATAACGTTATAGAAATAAAGGCTTCCCCTTTTTGTAAATTGGTGTACATGAACATGACACATCCGAATAAAACATATATATTAATTAATAAACATTTTCATTAACTTTAGAAACGTTTATTTTCATAACATTATATATCTCTACCTTTGACATATTTCTCGTGCAAATTCATATTTATATTTAATCGTTATTGTTCGTGAATTTTTAATTTTCATTGTACTTTAATATAAATAGCAAAATTGTTTCAAAATGCAAATATATGTAATAAAAAAGAGATTCCCTTATCATAATGATAATTGATAATTAAGTTTCAGATAGTGCGATGGTATATTTTGCATTATGATTGCAATGGTAAAACTATAATCATGATCAATGGGCACTGTTCTAATGTGAACCTGTTTCGCAATTTACCGTGCTAGTTTTATAGAAAGCCTTATCTAGGACATGTAGGACGAATACTGCAAATAACAAAGTAAAATGATAAAACTGTATATCTCTGTAAAAAATCGAGATTTAGAAGAAAAATCACAAATTAAGTTAAACAATCTTGTGCCGACTTTTATTCCAATCCTGTTTGTTATTTTAGTGACATTTTGTCGTTATAAGACAGCTTCATAACTCAAGGAACCATTAAGTTAGATTGTGTTTGAGAAACCAAACTAAGCTGACACTAATTGTACGGATGCCATTTTTATTTCATTTAGTCACTACATGTTACAAACGAAAGCTTTGATTAGCAGAGAGAAGCTTTAAAGCGTTGCAAAAACGTCTGTAATTTAAGACTATGTTTTGCAAATAACAATAAATAATGCCTGAAAGAATTTCTATTACAATACATAAGAAATGAGGGAAGTGTTAAAACAATACAAAAATGTCTGTAACTTGAAATTATATTGCTTTCATTGATTTCCATATTCAAACCATTAAAACAATAATAATTCATTGTCCATGTGAATTTGAATTATATTCTTATTTACTGATATGGCTAGACTTGCTGTTCAAATACTATAATTAACTTTATATATCAGTTCAATGAAAAGAAACATTTTTCTTTAGCTTTCGACGTTTAGTCTTCTTAAGAAAAAAATCGCGTTTATAAAATAACAAATGACAAATGAAATTCTAACAACTTTATAATTTATAATTAATGTATTTCTTTCTCTGTTGAAACCGGAAGTGATTAGTATTTGCATCTAGTGTAGAGCAAGACAAGCCTGCATATTATTAATGCAATGTGATAAGAATTTTTACTGTTGGCAGAAAAACTTTACATTTTATCTCCATAATTAAGCAAATTAATAGTTCCGATAATTAAAAAAAAAATAAGAAATTCAACAGGTTAAGGTTTAGATATATATAAGGATTGTTTTTGTGGTTATAGAGCTGAAATTTAAAATGTGTGGAAAATAACAATAATGCATGCATCGTTTTATACTCTGATATGAATTCCTAGAAATGTTCGCGGATACAATATTTCGCAGTTTCTACAACGTCACGGATTTGTAGTAACCGCGAATTACGCGAATATTAAGTCGCTTCGGCCTAAATTACAATTTTAGGCTACGTTTTTGATGTTTGGTGTTTTTGTTTTTGCCTGTTGGGTACTTTTAATTCTTTTCTTTTTTTTGACAAGTCGCGCCTAAAGCGCTACGTTACTCGATACCTTTTCATCTATTGACTAGTCTAACACGGACGGTTGTTCCGTAAACCCTTTTTTACGGTGGCACAAAGGTGACATGTGTGTATGTTTTTATTTATCTCGTGGCCACGAGTTACTAAGTCGTGGGAACGCGATAATCAACCAATCAGAATACAATATATATATAATGAGTTTTTTTAAACTTAACAACTTACTTTTACATGCAACATAAAACTTTATAAAATACTGAAGATACTAGTATTCACTTTGAACTTGTCTTTAGAATCATATTCTGAAAGTCACCTTCCATGGCCTATCAGACATTAATTTTGACTATAGCCCTTTGTTGGGACAATTTTGTGATCGAATTAATCAGTTTGTACGTACTACGGCCTGTTAACCTTGTTTATACGATAACATGAGAAGGAATAAGTCCTGGTTTATTTTATTTTGAAGGGACATTGCCCATTGACAGTAGATAGCCTATAAGGTAGAATCCTTGTCTAATGAATAAGTTAGAAGGGATAAACCAAAATTTATATATATAACCCAGAAAGATCATTGCACTTGATCAGTAGATGACATCTAATAATTTTGAGGTAATTGGATCAAAAATCAGGGTCACAGTGACGCTAAATGTAAAATTATTGACCAGTCAATAAGTTGTATAAATGGCACTTTTACAGGCTAGTGAAGTAGGGGCATCTTTGTACTATAGCACATGTCTAGTTAATTGAGGAAATTCATATAAATGATTAATCCGATTGGTTATTTATCACGTGGCCACGACTCAGTAACTTGTGGCCACGACTCAGTAACTCGTGGCCACGACTTAGCTATCTCGTGGCCAGGACTTAGTAACTCGTGGCCACGACATAGTATCTCGTGGCCACGTCTTAGCTATCTCGTGGCCACGACTAAGTAACTCGTTGCCACGACATAGTTTCTCGTGGCCACGACTTAGCCATCTTGTGGCCACGACTTAGTAACTCGTGGCCACGACATAGTATCTCGTGGCCACGAGATAAATAAAAAACACACACATTTCACATTTGTGCCACCGTACATTTTACTAATTTACTTACCTTTTCCACCATGTGATTAAGTAAGCTTTTATTCTCATATGTTTTTGTGTAAGTGGATTATAATTAATATTCTGCACATTTATGTTTTTATTTGGTTGTAGCTAGAAATGTTGGCGGATTTGTTATAAGTGACATATTCGCGGCTATAAAGATTCGCGGAAGCATGCCTACCGCGAAAAGCGCGAAAACGCGCGAAATCTTTCCTAGGAATGTGTAGTTCCGATAATTAAAAATGTTAAGAAATTCAACAGGTTAAGGTTTAGATATATATATGAATTGTTTTTGTGATTATATAACTGCAATCATGTGTGGAAAGTAACCATTATGCATGCATCGTTTTATACTCTGATATGATGAAAGTGAGCTTATCGTATAGAAATGTTTAATTCTTTTCTATGCGATATCGGTATTCGGCTGCAAGTTGTCAAATTAAATTCAGCAACGTAAAATGTAAATGAAAAAGGGATGTTTATTGGCTTGTTTGAGTCATTCGGTTTATAGGAGGCAATGATAAGTGCATTCTCTTACAGTCACAATTGCAAAGAAAATCCATAATTGTATATTTCAAACACTCAGTTACATACGCCAATCAAATTGAATTTCATAGTTCAAAATCCGTGATTCGAAATGTTTTAAAACGTGTATGACAATTCAATATTTACTGCTAAATTATTTATCACATTTTGTATCAATGTCTATTATTGACAGGTTCTTCCTTAAATCTCTGTCAAAGCGTTTTACCTCATTTTTCTTATCTGTCTTACATATATTGTTTCCAAATCTAGTTTTATTAATATCTACCCCTTACAATTGTTTTATCATTTTATTTTGCAACAAACTATTTGTTGACAAAAATGATTTTTTTATACAGATTGTTTTTATACCAGCGCAAACCATTGACAACACATCTTTGTAAACGATACTTTAACATACCAGAAAATGAATACTTAACGTTTATTACACTCAAGATACATGTATTTTAATTGATGTGACCATAAACATGTTCTTTTAAACAATGGTAAACAAAATAAACACCTGTTACCAAATGCATTTGTCAAACAATGCTATATCAAAACAAATCTATAAAATATTTGAGTAAATCAGACAATAATTTGTGAACTTATGAAATGTTTTATGTATAACAGTTTCAATTACCGTCACTACACATAGTGACCAACTTGATTTCTTGCCACAATAAAATATGTTTTGTGTAAAACTACTTTTGCGATTACCACCACTACTCTTTGAGACAAACTTGATTTGACTTGGCCAATATATTGTTTCCGTCTTCTATTTCTCTTGACACGAGTCCATTTATCAAACTAAAACGACACTCTACCAACCAGGTTTCGTGTCCCTGGAAATAAATTGTAATAATAAAAGTGGGTATCGGTAGAGATTATTTCTTATCCCTTCGAAAAGTACTTAAATTGAGTGCTAGAAAACGATCAAAATGGAATTATATCTTGTTCAATTGACAGAACTTTTATACTTGCAACAAATACGTTTCATAAAGTCTCAAATAGTTTCTTTTACAGAATTACGCATTGTATTTGTATTTATGCAAGATTTTAAGATGCGAGAAGTTTTGGTTTATCCCTGTAACGATAGTTGTGGTAACTATAAATTTAAAATTATTTTTTTCAAATACGCGTGAAACGTAGTAACACCATGTAATGAAAGATATTCCTACAATAAAAGATAATAAAAATGCATTGTTCAATCTTTATCTTCGCCATTAGAGGTTTTATAAAGCTGATTCGATCATACATCATTTTATTTGTAAAAGTTATGGCAATTACTGTTCTAAGCAATGTATGTATAAATTAACTCATTTATAAAAGCTGACTTGACTGTTATGTAATAGTACATTACAAAAGTAATGCATAATTTTTTATTTCTATTTTTTTTTTCAAATACAAATTTATTTATTGTTTACACGTTAATAGAGTGTTTTTTTTTTGTTTTTTTTTGTTTGTTTTTTTTTTTGTTGTTTTTTTTTCCATAATTTAATTTTCTTATAATTTTTAAAATTAGAACTACTGAATTATAAAAATAATAAATAAGTAGGCATACTTTTGTTATGAACAATTTTCGAAATGTAACGTAATTATAAGTGC